AACTGGGGTTGATCAAATCCCCCCAAAATGGCCATGGTTCTAAAAAAAAAAATCTTTTAAAAATTTTTTTTTTTTTTTTTTTTTTTTTTTTTTTTGTCTTTTATCTTTTTCCGTGTCCGGCAACGGATCGCAACCCTCAGTGTTGCCCCCGTACCGGACCGGGGACCGGCAACGGGACTGCAACCCTCAGTGCTGCTCCCGCGCCTCGCTCAGCCAGTGAGCGGGAACCGGTCTGTAAGTGGGATCCGAACCCTCGGGCGGGAGCGCCGCCGTGCTTCCCAAGCGGCGCACTTATCCAGTGCGCCACCGGGCCGGCCCAATCTTATAACAATTTAATTGACACAAGTTGTGTTCGTATGGAATGATGTAGATACACAGCATTTGGTATTTACAACTGGGGACATTCCTTTCCAACAGATAGAATATTTGTGGGTTTTTTCTGGTGAATCTGCTTCTCATATCAAGATATTCCAGAAATTATATTTATAATTATATTCTTGTACCTTGTAAGGATGCAATTAGAACAACAATGGAGAATTCCCTCCAGGTCATAATAAGTCTTGCTAAATTAGTACTTCCCCTACAGAGAATATCCTCTGTAGTGACTAAAACACTCATGGATAGAACTGGATGTGCACTGCCAAATTTTGCTTTTCTGCCCCATTTTTTAAAAAATTTTTTTCCTCTGTTGACACATTCTTTCTTTACATGTAGTCATGGCCCTGTTTTGAGTTGGTTGTTGCTTCTAGGACAACGAAAGGAAAGACTGTTTATCTTTCCTTTATGTGTTGATTTAAAAGACTTTAACTTGCCCACATTCCCAGCTTTCAGTGAGATGATATATGGTAACCACTGCCTTGGGAGCAGTAAGATGTGAAGGTCTGAAGTCCTACAGACCTGGGCTGGAATCTGGTATGTATGGTGTCCTGTTAGTGGACTGTAAGTGAGTTACCTGCCCACTCTCAGCCCCCTGGAATCTTCATCTGTAGAATGAAAGACCAAATCGACCTCATGAGGTTATGTGAGGATTGAAAGGCATTGAGGAGGTAATGTGCTTATGATAATGTCTGGTGCATAGTGAAAGTCAGTACACATCAGCTGTCAGTGCTACAACTATCACTATTTTATCAGTAACAAATTAATTGGATATTTAACACTTCTCTGCTTGTGAAGAGGCAGAGAGCTAAAAACTAAAAAGTGTAAAAATGCAAGTAAGGGTCTTTCGTGATGCCTGAAACTTGGAGGATGCTCAGTACATGTTTCTTGAATTTATAAGTTCAAGGTCTCTACACAGTGGTCAACTGAGAGATGACTTTACCATCCTCTGAATTTAATAGTCCTAAAGCCCTGTGGCCTCCTGGTAAAGAAGACTGGTTATCTGATAATTATATTTTCTAAACTTTCAGGAACTCTAACTCTGTTAAAAAGATAAGGGTCATGAGAACTTGTGAATTAAGTAACTGAACCTGAGGCTTTAACATCTGACAGATTCTGGGTGAGCTACTTTATCTGAGCTGGTGCCTGAGGCAAACAATGGACCCTTTACCTTCTGTTATCATTACTTGAGTGTAAAGTTGAGTGTTCTTCAGTTTGGTACTGAGATTTTTTTCAGGTTACGTGTGTGAAAGAGGAGTGAATGTCATATGACTAGACTATTTGAACAAGTTTTATTGTCCCATATGTTCTTTACTAAAGTGTCTAGAAATAATTGTCACTTGACATAACAGTTGTGAATCTGTGACTTCAACAAAGCTTGTGGTAGATAGAAATATAGGAGCTCTACAGCAATAGTGAGTACAAGGTTAATTTGGCACCAGAATACCCGACTTTGGTCAGTTTGATAGCATTTATGGAGTACCTACCTTGTGCAGGACACCATGTTTAGGGGTATTAATAAAGAGATAACTGATACATGGTTCTTATTCAAGAGTGAACCCACAGTCTAAACGGCAAGATAAGCCATAAACCCATGACTCAGGATAAGAAGAGCTCCAACAGGGATTATACAACATGTAAAGGAGGCAATAAGGTATCATGATTCTGCCTGCCTGGTGTTTAATAGACCTCGTTGTTTACCTGCTCAAATCCATACCTTCATCCGACCCCACCCACAGCCAGGATCTGCCTTGCAAATAAAGCCCAGATTTTGTTTGTGGGTGCACCTCACACATACCTATGTGCTCAGGGGAGGAGCCCCTTCCCAGCTCCAGAGGGTTACTCTTGGCTAATATCTATACCAGCCATGGTGATGTCAGTCTCTTTTGTGCCAGTGAGTGGTTTAGACATTGTTATGGCTAACTTTATGTGTCAATTTGGCTAGGCTATGGTATCCAGATATTTGTCAAACACATCTGGAAATTGCTGTGAAGCTATTTTTATTTTAGATGAGATTAACATTTAAATCAGTAGACTTTAACTAAAGCAGATTATCCTCCAAAATGTGGGTAGACCTCAATCTATCAGTTGAAGGCCTTAAGAGAAAAAGTCTGAGAATCCCTGAGAAAGAGGAAATGCTGCCTCCAGAAACCTTCGGCCTCAAGCTGCAATATCAACTCTTCCCTGGGCCTCCATCCTGCCGGCCTGCCTTGAAGATTTTGAATTTGCCAGTCTCCACAGTCACGTGAGACAATTCCTTAAAATACATCTCTCTCTTCCCCTTCCCCCATCCCCAGCTTGGAGGTGACACATACATTAGTACAAACATGAACACAGTTCTGCACAGGTTCTGCCGATGGCACACAAGAAGTCTGCTGAATAAACTTGGGGACAAAAGCCACACTAAAGATGGCAGAGCAAAAAGCTGGAAGGAACCCATATCTCTTATGGCCCACTCAAGGGTTGAATTAACCATGATCCTGCTACCACTGACTTTGTTAACTGAAATAACAGACTTCTTATTGTTGGAGCCACTTTGAGTTGAGCTTTCTGTCACTTGCAGCCCAAGGCATTCTTCCAGATCCAGGTGTCTTGGCACAAGGATGCGGGTAGAAGAAAGGAGGGAAATTAGAACTGGGTCTTGACAATGTTCAGGATTATTCAAAGTAGAGAGGAGAATGTGAGGAATATCAGACAGCATGGGCAATGGAGGGTGAAAATGCACGTGGGCTCTGGGGAGCGGTGGAGACTTCTGAGCGTGCAGAGGGCAGGGTGGAGTGTGATGAACAAGCAGGCCGGCAAGGGGGTGGGGGCCAGATTATGGAACTCTGCATTCTGTGCTCAGGAGATTAGACATGATTCCTTTAAAATATGGGGATTATAAGACATTCCTATGCTCTGGAGAGACACAGTCAAATGTATGTGTCAGAAAGCCAGTGTAGTCACAGTGATGTCACAAACTGTATTCCAGTGAGGATATCAGAGTCAGAGGATCGATACAGTGCTTTCTTAATCATCCAGGCAAAGGGGGACTAGCATCTAAACAAGACTGTAAAACCAAAAATATTGGCTTAAGCATGTTATTGGAGAATTAGCCTGGGTTTTGTGTAGTAGCATTTAAAGTGTATGTGTGTATTTGTGTGTGTGTGTGTGTGTGTATAATATGTGTTATATATACATGTATATACTCATATATAT